CTCCTCTCCTCTCCTCTCCTCTCCTCTCGTCTCTCCTCCTCTCTCCTCCTCTCCTCTCTTGCAGAAAGTTTTATTCTCACCTTCAGGTGTTTCTCTTTCCTCAGACAGAATGAATGCAGAACAGCGGAGATGGAAACATCTGATTTGAAACGTTGTCTCAAACTGTTGGATGTGAAGCAGCTGGAGGAGGTGCTGGCTGCAGAGCCGTCCCTCTGAAGCTGCTCCTCAGTTAGTCCTTCAGGGAGGACGGTCTGGGCAGAGCCAGGAGCTGCTGGACCAGTAGAACATCTTGTTGAAGTCAGCCTGTAACCTTCAGGCTCTTCAGYTGAACCTCAGAATGCTGACATCTTGTCTGCTGCAGGTGACTGAGAAGACAGACGTCTACCTGGACAACCTGCAGGTGGGGGTGGAGCTGTGGGACAAGCAGCTGATGCTGGGGGGACAGGTGGAGAAGTGGGCCGGAGCCAAGCTGGCCCTGTTTGCAGCAGGTCAACCCTTCCACAGCCAACAAGATGTTCTTTCCATGAAGGTAGGATTAAAGCTCCTCTGTCTCCTCAGGAGGAACTGGAGACATGTCTGAGTGTCTCTGCTCTGCAGGAGGACATCCACAGCAACCAGGAACACATCGAGCATTTCCACAAGAAGTCTGTGGAGATCCAGGAGATGCTGCAGAGTCAGGAGGCTCCTCTGGAGCTGCAGGTGAGCTGCTGGACCTCTGTGGTCCTTCTGGTCCTTCTGGTCCTTCTGGTTCCTGCTCCTGTCCTCCTCATCTCAACATGTCCTCCTCTGCTCCTCCAGGTGATGGAGAGCCAGCTGAGGAAGAGGATGGAGCAGGTGAAGGAGCTGTTCACTGACTGCACAGATGTGTTTGAGGAGCTTCTAGCTGTGAGGAAACATCTGTGTGAGAAGATCCAGATGTGTCAGACATCTGTGGAGAACATCCAGGGTTGTGTGAGTCGGGTCGATGCTTCAGAACCAGCAGCAGAAGCTCAGATCCAGGTAGAGAACAGGTAGAACCTGGTGTGGTCCTGACATGTATGAAGCTGAAGCTCAGCTTGTTGACGTGTCCTTCAGGATGTGTGTGAGGAGCTGCAGGCTCAGGAGGACCAGGTCCACGCTGTGCTGACAGAGCTGGCTCTGGTCTCCAGGGTGGCCAGTCCAAAGGTTCTGGAGGAACTTTCTGCTGACTGCAGCAGAGTGAAGGAGACCATCGCTCAGACCAGAGACCTGATCCACCTGAAGAGAGAGGAACGAGACAAAGACCTGCTGACCATCATCAACGGTCAGTCTTTAAAAGTCCACTCCCATAAAACCCTTTCAGAATAAAAGACTCTGTTTGACAGAGTCTTATCTAAGGTTGAAACAAAGACAACTTCCTGCCACTAAATGACACTTCACTTCATTCTTCCTGTTTATTTTCCAGATGAAAGAGAATCGTTTGAGGAACATTTCCAGGAGGTCCAGATGTCCGTCAATGAGTGCTTTGAGAACCCTGAGAGCAGGAGTGATGTGGAAAGCTCCGTGCAAAGACTGCATGTAAGAGGACAGGTCAGCGGATTGGACAGATCTGCAGGAAACATGTCCTCATGCTTTGTCTCGTGTCCATCAGAGTCTCCTGGAATCTCAGGACACAGAGAGACGTCTGGGTCAGATCCAGGATCGGCTGCAGAGATGGAGCCAGCAGGTTTCTCCTCAGCACACGTCTGAACTGGACGTCTGGCTGAAGGAGCAGCAGGAGGAGGTGGGCACATTCAGAACCCACTGCCACAACCGGCAGGAACAGATGGAGTCTCTCCTCAGAGACCTGGACAGGTAAGGAGGCAGGCTGCTGGGTCAAACCCTGACCACAGAGAAGAGGTGTGGTGGTGACCACACTGTTTCTGCTGCAGTCTGCAGGAGCAGCATGAGAGACTGGATGAGTGGCTGCAGAACAAAGAGAAACAGTGTGTGCTGTCAGAAGATCACACACTTCTTCTGAAGGAGCTTCAGGATGAAAGGTGCCTTTCAGTGTTTACACAAAATACCTTCATCAATTTAATTAAATAAATCTAGTGTGTGTGTGTGTGTGTGTGTGTGTGTGTGTGTGTGTGTGTGTGTGTGTGTGTG